CCCATCATCCCGCTTTGACGCCCTTGTTTGTTCGTTTCACAGGAGATTTGTAAACAGGCAGCCACCTTCTCGGCCCTGCAAGACTCAGAATGCTTTGCCCACCTGCTTCGTTTCTATGACGGCATCTGCAAATGGGAGGAGGGCAGCCCCACACCGGTGCTTCATGTGGGCTGGGCGACTTACCTGGTCCAGTCCCTGAGTCGCTTCGAAGCTCCGGTGAGGAAACCGCACTGGGATTGCTTTCAAAGTAACAAAATGATCCACTGATGCTTAAAAACTATAAAAAAAAATATATATATTATTTCGCTTTATGTGAAAAGGTGCGTCAGAAGGTGACTATAATCACCAAAGAGCCAGAGCCCATGGAAGACGACGACCAGTCCAGTGATGACCCGCGAGAGGGCCGCAGACGGGGGCCGAGGAGGGAGTCCAAGTTTGAGGACCAGAGCTCGTCTCCACCTTCTGCTGCTCCCACGTCCCCCTCCACCCAGCCGACTGCAGCAGCAACAGCAGTAGTGCCACAGTCCAAAAAGGTGGGCGAAGGAGGCGGGCGCCGCCGCTCCACGCAGAGTCTGCGAGCCGGGGAAGCCGACGGAAAACCCAAGTCTCCCGACCCGGAATCTGCGTCCTCCCCGCTGTCCCAGCAGCAGGCGTCCCCCTCCCCGGCCGGTCCCGTCGTCACCTTTCAGAGCGAGAAGATGAAGGGAATGAAGGAGCTGCTGCGTGCGGCCAAGGTGAACTCCAGCGCCATCAAGCTGCAGCTGACGGCCCAGTCCCAGGTCCAAATGAAGAGGCAGAAGAGCACACCCCCCGGAGATTACTCCATGTCCTTCATGAAGCGGCAGCGCAAGTCGCTCTAGAGAATGACACTGTGAAAAGCTGCTAATGGCCTAAAACAAAGAGATAGTTCAGGATTTCTTTTTGTTTTTTGTTTTTTTAAAGTGTGGTTTAAAAAGGTCAATCAGGACTACATTCTGCATAGCAACCCCCACAAAAACGGGTATAATATACACATATTTTTGATTTACAGAATTATCAAGTTTTTAAAAATGCGTTCATGTGTGAGCCATGTCAGTACAGAGGAATTTGTATGTCAACCAGTGAGACTGTGCAGACATGTCAGTGTCACTTTGATTGATCAGGGGCATATTTGAATCACTCACATCACAAATTTACAAATGAAATGTTCTGAACCTGTCGATGACTTTAACATTTACGTTGACGCTAAACGTTACAAACAAAGCATATCAACTATTCAGATATCAATTAGAAACTGAGTTTTTGCATCCCGTGTGCCGCCTTTGGATTCACAGATTTTTCACAAGATGGTTTTTGTCCGTACCTTTCACCCTACACTTGAAGATCCCTGAACTGTCACTTTAACTTCGCCTGTTTGTGTTATTATTTCCTAGTGATGTGTTTCACACTCTAGACAGACATTGGATCAGGTCAGGGCTGTTAGAAAGGAAGAAAACTTTCTATACATTAATTTCAATTCTTGTCATGTTCTTGCTTCACCCATTGTTAGTATGTGTTTTGATTGGCAACCAATTGTACACCGACTCTCTGCCCGAACTCCTCGCTGACTCATCCGCGGATGTTTGTAGCCAAAGTTCCGTGGGCGTGACCAGAACTCAAGCGTACAGACAGTGTAAATATTTTCTAACTCGTACCATTAGGATCCCGTCGACGACTGAAGCCTCGGAAGTGAATAATTTAGGATAGTTACTGTGTAACATTGTCCACCTCCGCTCTACTGACAGCTTCTTTTTTGCTAGCTCTGTGTTGCCTTACTTTTTTTGTTTCTTCTCTTCTAAGTAGGTGACCTTAAGTTGTGAAGGTAGCTGAACTTGGCCTAATTTTTCAATAAGACAGAAGACCAGGAAGACCGTGCACTGTTGAGACAGAGCCACATTAGGTGGTCCTGCTGTATTTAATTTGCCTGAGGACTTTTGTTTTGTAACTTGAAGTAATAAAGACTTGTTGAGAGTACCACAGTGGTGGTGTGTTTTGTGGAGTTTTGAAATCTTATTTGGTTTAGACCAGGGGTGTCAAACTCATTGTGGTTCAGGGACCACATACGGGGATGGACCAGTAGTCTCATAACATAGTTTTATATAAATAAAAAAAGTCTTATCTTTTTCCCCTTTTTTTATCATGCAGATACATTCGATAAATCTTCATATTAAATGAAATATAATTTTACAAAACATTTTCTTCAAGTGGGCTAGTTTTGGCCTGCGGCCTGTATGTTTGACACCCCTGTTTTAGACAGTAGAACTGCAGTACTACTGTAGATTTTTTTTTTCCTAAAAATATGGGCTAGTTTTGGCCTGCGGGCTGTATGTTTGACACCCCTGGTTTAGACAGTAGAACTGCAGTAGTACTGTAGATTTTTTTTTTCCTAAAAATTAATAGAAAAATCTGTTTTCAATAGTGATGACTTTGTCCAATATCAACACTGCAACTTGGAGTATCTGCTGATACCAATATCAGTCCGATACCTTTTTTTCCTCCATAATGTTGCAGGCTGCCACTGCTGAGGCTTACAGGGTTTACATGTACAAGTACATGTAACATAAGTTAAGCATTTGGCCGTCGGTGTCGCGCAGGCTGCCACTGCTGAGGCTTACAAGGTTTACATGTACTGCATGGTAAGTTAAGCATTTGGCCGTCGGTGTCGAATTGTACGAGCTATAGTTTTTTTTTTTTCTGACTTGAGCCATCCCCAGTTTTCAGTTCTTTAATTTTACATTTGATACGTAAAAAGTAACTTTTTTTTGCATCATATCCTAACTAATAAATCCACCTAAAGCACAAATTGTAAAATCAGAGTCCAGTGCTAAATAATTTGACTGAAATTTAGTAGTAAAACCACAGTATTTATAAAATTAAGGATGGGTTTTAATCTAAAGTTATATTTTGTCCCAAAATTAACGTTTTTCTTTTATTTCTTTTTTATTTGCTTTTTCTTATTAGGTCTTTCCATCAGTATATAAAACAATTTCCCCCATAGGAATCAATGCAAAATGGATGAACCCATTCCTGGACACCGGATGATTGCTTATTCAATCTTTTTTTAACAGTATTTTGTGTAGAGATTCATACACGAAACCAATGAAAATAATTAGATCTAACAACAACAACAAAAAAGGATCAACACAACTGAATAAAGCTATAAATAGGAAAGGCAATTTCATTCATCGGAGCTGAGGAGTCGTGATTGAGCAATCACAGATTATTAATGTATTCAAACATGCTTTCATACACCCATACGACTAGATATATACATAAATGATCCTTCATCCTTTTACAATCCTTTTATATTCTTCAATTGTCTCTGCTCCCCTTCTACATATAATGAAAAAAGGATTTGTTGTCCTTGTAACACAGCACACGACGAAATGTCCCTTTAACCCGTCAACTTGTTGGACAATGGGCAGCTCAAGCTTGCTATGCTCAGTGCACATCAGTGGAACCTGGTGGCAGGTGGATTCGATTGGGCAATGGGCAGCTGGGCAGTGGAACCTGGTGGCAGGTGGATTCGAACCTGCGACCTTCTGGACACAAGTCAGCTTCTTTAACTCACCACTTTTTTAAATATTTCTGCATCCAAGGTACGCACTTTTTTTCAAAGCAGCCTCTACGTCAATTTATTGGTTCGTTGTGCGTGCGTGCATTCTGCTCATGCGTGCTGAGACCCAGCAGAGCTGCTCTTCACTGCGCTCTCAGACGCTCAGTGTCAGTAAGTGAGTACAAAGCCAACCCGTCAGAGCTCCAGCAGTAACAGCAGCAGCAGCATCCGCTGCAGCAGCAGCAGCAGCAGCAGTTCGAGGTGTTCTCTCCAGAAACCACAGACATGGACCGAACCATCGGCGTCTCCTTCTTGGATCCCTTGGAGGATTATGAGTTAATTCAGCGGATCGGCTGCGGCACCTACGGTGACGTCTTCAAGGTGAGGGTGTGAGAAGAAAACTGCAGGTTTTTTTTTTCTTAAAATCGTCACGCTGTTTGAGTGGCTTTCTCCCTTTTGTGTGTGTTTTAAAAAGAACAAAATAACATCGTGATTACCACAACACCTGTTTGTTTTCGTCTTTCGTCTGTATAATTTTCAATACTTTTAACGTGGACCAGGTATAGAGTGTTATCTAAGCGTCTGCCTGCTGGGGTTGTCATAAACCCAGTTTAATTTGTTGTTCGCCGATACGCAACTATACGCAGTTTTCCTGGGCATGTTGTAAAAAAAAGTTTGATAAAAAAAAGTAATTAAATAAAATGTCGTAAAAAACTGACCCGATGTAGGCCCTTAGGCAGTTGAACATTTGATTGAAAAGTGATTTAATATTAATTTTAAAAAACATATCTTGACAGAGGTGACAGTTGAAAGGTTGAGTAATAGTATTTCTTTAAAACGATATTTCTTGTTTTTAAGTACTTTCACTTAATGTGTACTTTCTTAAGCTTTTATGCGCCAAGCTAGCTGTCGCCCCTTAATCGAATTGTGTTAAATGCTATATAAATATATTGATTTCTACAGCATATCGATGTATAAATATGTATTTATATTTATGTTTGTATATGCTGATGCTAGTACCACATTCCCAGTCAGTTTTATGTTTAATGTACATTAATTTGCCGTCTATTGTAAAGTGTACGCAGTTATAAAAAACATAAAGTACAACCTTGATTTAGCCCGTGGCTAATGCTAATGCAGCCTGTAGTCGAGTCGGTTAGCGCTACCGCTAAGAAAACATTAGCACCAACTTAGTTGTTACACATATTTGGGATTCTTTTGATGCTAAAGCTAGTATTCACAATAACAGAAATACTTTGGTTTTACCTATTTTGTTTTCTAAAACAAACAAACAAAGTCTTTAAGTGTTTTTGCGCTCTTTAGACAACAGCATAAACCTTTTTTAAGCAAATTGTAGTAGTCAACTCTTAAAAGTCAGTCATAGTCAAAACCGAAAACCAGTTTTTTGAAGTATTAAGTAGCACAGCACAAATTTAATAGAATTCTATGTAGCATGATCAAAATAGCGAGACATCATGGATTTGTGACTTCCTTCCTGCAATTTTTTTTGTTTAATTTGTTGTTTCATACAGCAGTAGCGACAAATTACTTTTGAATTTGGAGTACTTCAAATTTACATTTATTCTTGAAAATTATAACCTCTACTGTGTACTAGGACTATAAATAATTTTGTTAACTGAATTTAGACTTAGCTGTTGGCAACACTTGTGGAGTAAACTACATTTTGGCATGTTAACTGAATTTAGACTTAGCCATACTGTTGGCAACACTTGTGGAGTAAACTAGTAAAGTAGGCAGGCAAAGTATCTGCGTAGCGCGTGGAAAAATTCCCCTCAACATTGTCTATTTGGGTGCAGCGATACTCAACAGGGTATTTGATTTGACAAGTATTACAGCCACTACTTTATCGAGTTAGATAGAAATCAAAGTAGTTTTACTCAACGTATGTGATTCAACGTGTCTTCCTTCTCACCAGAAGGAACTGTGGTGTCTGGATGCAAACATCCTGTGCAGTTAACCCACCCCCAGTGCCTTGTGCATCCTGCACAGACAAACCAAGAATTTGTATTGTTTCGTTTTACATTTCTGTCTGTCACTTTTTAACAACCCCACAAGCTTGGTAGTAAAGACAACCCAGTTGGGGCATTTGATTCTATCCAGTGGTGCATTAAAATGAATAATATTAATAATATTTGAAAATTGGAAAATGTGTCAAATTAAGGCAGTATTTCTCAAATAGTGGGGCATTGAGGTGCCGGCGGGGGCTTCCACGGAATATGGCACGCTGGACATAAGTGTACTGAATGATAACAAGCCTCCAGTCACTAGGTGGCAGCAACTCATACAGTGGTTTGTACAGATAAAAATATACATGTTATCAGGTTCTCAATAGTATTTCAATTCGTGGGTGTGTGAGTCAGGGGGCGGGAGCAGAGGGGATGTAAAAACATTTCTGTCCCCAAGGAGGGGCGTTACGGAAAATTATTGAGAACCACGGAATTAAGGTCAGAGTACGGAAAATAATTGAGAACCACGGAATTAAGGTCAGAGTGCCATCTGTTGGATCACATGTTGACTGCCTTTGAAAGTCTAATGTACTACGTGGCTGCATATTTAAAGCCAGTGTGTGTCAGTGTCACAACATCTTTGACTGCGGTTTGGGTCGAATCGCATCACAGTGACGTTCTGTCGCCAACGATGTCAACGATCAGCTGATGTTGACGCCACAGTGCATCGCTTTGCCTTACACGCTGTGGCCTGTGTTTCTGCTGTGAATATGTACAGTCAGACAATAGCACATTATCATCCTCAGCAATGCCACTGCTGTTGGTGGGGATTCTGTGGAGTGGCAGCCACTAGGGGTCGAAAGGTGAAACCTCTGCACATGTGACAAGGTGGGCATTCACTGGACACTCATTACAGTGCAGTTATTCAGGAAAAACCTCAGTTCAGAGGTTGTGTGTGTCTGGGACTTGTTTGTATTTGTATTCTGGAGCTATATGCTTGCTATATCTGCATCCCGGAAGTGTTGTCCTACACCTTAAGTGATGATTTCAACAACTAGCATATCCACTAGTAGTGAGTGATTAGTAGTGAGTTTCTAGTGATTTATCTACTTAAAGCAAGCTACTCCTTTATATTAGTAAAACTGCTTGCTACTGGGTAGCCCATGCCTTACTACCAATTATACCTGTGCACATGGTTTTCCTTTTGTTGAAGGGTGGCTCACTAATATATATATATATATATATGGAGATATATATGTCTATATATGACCATATATTTATACATACATACACACATATAAACATATATGCATATATATAAATATATGTGTGTATATATTTACACATTTATAAATATATATGTGTATATATAAATATGTGTGTGTATATATGTATATATACATACAGTATATGTATATATTTACACATATATACATATGCATATGTATATATGTGTCTGTATAAATATATATGAATACATTTATACATAAATATCCATCCATTAATCCATCATCTTCCGCTTATCCAGGGCCGCAGACACATAAATATATGTATATATTTATATATGTGTGTGTGTATATATAGTACAGAGTACTTACCCTTTTTTCCCCATTGTAATCTATACATTTGGTCTTTTTTCGCGTAGATGTCGAAGTCGCTTAATAGTAAATGGATCAGGTTTTTTATATGCTACTCGAACAATCTGATTTACAGGGTAGCCAGGTAGGGTGGCTAGTTAGATTCCAGGGACTTTCGTCTTAAGTCTCTCAATAAATCTTTGGCAGATGGTGATCTAATCACAAACATCATGGGTTAATAACTTTGTGAACCGTGAACCGCCTGTAATGTGCATATAAAGTATGTTCAATTTTTATTAGTAAATATATATTTAATGTTATCACTATAAGTAGATCACTTTAGCCTGGTCATGTGAACATTGGCTCCCATCGAAAAATAGTGTAGACAACCATGCTCTAGTACAGGCATCGGCAAACTTAGGCCCAGGGGTCGGATGCGGCCCGTTTAGCTTTTTAATTCGGCCCGCCAAACCTTTCCAAATAATATAATTTATTTATATTATCATCATACTTCTGCCTTTTCCCTGCAATACCCATGTTTCCCCAATAGATGGCGTAGAAAATGATTCTACTCATTTTAGCATTTAGCCTTCATGCATAACTTTTATTTATCTTAGTTCACATGAACGCTCCATCTCTCTGCTCCTGACCCAGCCCCTCTGTTCAATTTTAGGACAGTTGTGGAGCGCGAGTCAAAAAGTTTGCCCACGCCTGTGCTAGTAGATGAAAATGCCCTAACCCTGGTATCAAGCACAGGCCCCAACTTATGTAACATCTACAACATTTTTCAATTTTTATGCTTTGTATTGTATTCTGCCTTTGCATACAGCAGGAAGCCTGGTGGCCCTCTGAAGAAATTACAGTCGGAGTACAGAGAATGCGTATCGCGTTAACTTAAGAGGCCTGATCAAAGTGCACTATAGCCGCTGCTTCCTTCCTTCAATTTGAATATAACCGTCAGCAGCTGTTATTTCAGGCCTGAAACGCCGTGTTCAAAACGGTACTATCGCTGCACTCACAGGAAGTCCTGTGGTAGAGCAGGAAAGAAAACAGGAAGCGAGTGCAGACGAGCCCCAGGTTGACCTGCTGATCCTATTGGCTGTCGTCCCACTGTTATGAATGGTCGGTGGCTCTGACGTCAGTGAACGGTGGGGAACGACCGGTGTTTTCAGGAAGAGACGAGGAAGAACGCGCGCTACAGCTGTTTTTAAAACAACAACTACCTTCACCTTTGTTGGACTGTTTTGAATCAAGTCGGGATTACGGTGATCCCTCACCTATCGCGGTAGTTGCGTTCCAAGACCCACCGCAAAATGGAAAAAAAATCACAAAGTAGAGGCAGTTATTATATTATTTACGTGTATATTGACCCTTTACGAATTTCCCCCTGTTATCAACCCTCCCTAGACTGTATTACCTTTTCCCACACAATTATTTGCACACTAGAGTTGTATGATGGCGACGCAGAGTGAATTGAACAAGAGACTGGCCGTCAGACAAGGGGAGATGCTGAGAGATGCTACGATGCATGAGCCAATCAGCGTGAGGAACAGAAGAGCATGCTCAATTAGCCAATAGTATACGGAGTACGTGTTATATTAGCCAATGGTATGCTGTGTACGATCTCGTCTAAGTAAACAAAGCTACCAGCGATGGTTTGCAAATGGGCTTATCTCAGTTTCAAAACGAAAATCCACATTTTATCACAAAAAAAAGATTAAAGTCTCCGATGTACCGAGGGAGCGAAAGGAGAACCGCGATATAGAGAGGGAACACTGTATTTTCCGGATCCTTTTCTGAATAAGACATTAACCTAATGTGTCCTCACATTATATCTGTGTTACAGGACTTCACGACTGGTCTACTGTGTCTACCTGTGACGTGAATTTGAATAAATGACTGAATTTGAATAAATGACTGAATGAATAACAAGGTTTTCCACAGACCTATCGGCAAACCCTTTAGTTTTTAGTTCTGTTTTCAAGAATCCAGTCCTGATGATTTACAATAATTTACTCCTACAACGTGTTCTCTTTCAGGCTCGAAACATCAGGACGTCTGAACTAGCCGCTATCAAAATCGTCAAACTGGATCCTGGTAAGTGAAACCACACCTATATATAAACGGTCTCACTGCTTATATTCTAGAATCGTGAAGCTCTAAGTCTCATATGGCTTATATTCTAGAATCGTGAAGCTCTAGGTCAGAGGTTCCCCAACAATCTCTGGCTGTGCCCCTTTAAAGCAGTCATAAAAAAACGGTAAAACATAATTCCAGGAATGACCTGTATGAGGCACAGACTTTCACTTGATGTCATGGTCATGTGTTGCCACACATGCACGGGAGTTTTTATTTCAACCACTTCCTTCTTTTTATTTTACTACTAACCAATTCACATCCGTTATGATTGGTAGTGATCTGATCTGATCTGGTTAGCTCCGATTGGCTCTCAAGCTCGTTTGTTTCTCCCATTTACTCTGTGGGATTTATTGATCCTGGATACTCACATTTATTATATAACATCATTATTTTTTTCTGATTGAATAAACATATGATTGATTTTGATGTTCCGTATTAGATTAAATTAAATAAATATGAATGTTTGTCAATACAGTTTCCACAACATTATTGTAGGAACTGCTGCTGAATGTGTGTGACCTAAGAGCCCTTTAGCAGAATTACAGTTACACATTACGCCGATGATTTGATGAAAATGTGCAATTGCGATTACTGTGGTCAATATTGCGATTTTGATTACGATACAAATGAATGATGTCATGAGTTTACTTGCTTGAATATCAAGGACAACACGGAGAATAACGATAGTTTCGATATTTCTCAACTCAAAACAATTAAATATGACACAAAAAAAAAAAATACAAAACCTGAACTTATTTATTTTGTGTTTTTATTTATAACTTAAGATAAAAAAATAAAGAAGTTTGATAATAAAGATATTTCGAAGAATTTCGGCCAAGGCAGCAGCACTGTTATAAACTTACGACCATTCTGTCGGTGTTTTGGTAAATCTTCCAAGTACTACTTGATCAAAATAAAATAAAATAATAGAAGCGTTTTTGCAGTTCAAGAAGTTCAAATGGAGACAACTTTAAGGCATTTCTGTGGGGGCCTTTATACAATCAGAACAATAAGAGAATACAAAATATTCATCCGAGGTGGTAGCTGTACCCTTTTAGAAAGAGAATGTGGAGTAGATGTCTTAAAGATGAACGTAGGATAATTATATCGCTTTTGGTGTGATTGAAACATTTTTAAAGACTGGTTTTTGGCCTCCATAAGCTCCATAGCCTTTATGACGTTACTGGCGTCGTCTGTAGTCATGGTAACTTGACGTTCCTCGCGCAGCCCGCCATCCCGCTGCGAAAGCCCCCTATAGGCTCGATGTGATGTTTTCTCCCAAGTGGTCCTGGGAAATATGGTGTTTTCGGGCTGCGGCTTTTAAGCTCAAAAGTCATTGTCAGTAAAGTGGACAGTCAGGTTTAAGTAAGGTCCCGTGGTCCTGCTTTGACCACATGTCTGTTGTGGTTGAATGAAACTTGAGCGTAGCCGCTTCGACTTGAACCTTGCTGCGAGTAGTTGGTTTCTCCTGTCCAACATGGGAATCATTGACTTTGGGACGTAGCGACTTTAGCTTGGCACGTTTTACACAGCACATCTTGCTATTCCTCATCGCCGTACGTTAATCCAAAATATCGTCATACAACACAAGTTGCACCTTTTTTCCGTCACCCACTCAGCACCCTCATGTTTTTCATCCACGTCCATGTTGGTCACTGCTGTCGGCAGCCCACAGTGGGTGGATATGGCTCCACGTATTTTTACACTAAATCGCAAAATGCGTTTTTTTTTATGCAGTTATTTAATCGCGATCAGATTAATGGTGCAGCACTAATGTGAGATGAATACTGAAAGACAAATATATTTTTTCTCAGTGTTCAGCGTAGCTTTGTTCAGCTATATTCGCTGTGGTGTCAGAGTTTGTTAAATTATTTGTTATTATTATTATCATTGTTTAAATAACGTAAGGAGTCCTTTGTCATTTAGAGGAAAACCTTTCCTTTTCAAACACTCATGTGCGGAATGGACCTGATTCAGATCAGTGGGTTGTAACTAACTTTTCTTTGTGTTATTTCCATTTTTTATTTTCTTTCCTGTTGTCTGTGCGCTCAGGTGATGACATCACATCCATCCAGCAGGAGATCACCATGATGAAGGAGTGCAAGCACAAAAACATCGTGGCCTACTTCGGCAGCTACCACAGGTGCTGTTTGTCTCTCTCCATTTCCTGTGGGGTATTCCTGGGATTGTTAGTGGAATAATGCTGCATTCCAGAAAGCTGGGATTCCTAACTTATTCCGCGAGGAATGCCCTAGCTCAAAAAAGGAAAACAAAGTTGAACATAAATATAACACTTTGATAAGGGTCTCGTATGTATCTCAAATATATTTGCTAAGCTAACTGGCCTTTAAATCATCTCCATCGTACCCTTTGCAAAAGAACAAATTATTTAACTTATTTAAATAAGTAAACATTTTATTAATGTATTTACAATTTTTTCATGTCCGATACAGATACTGCAACTTGTATTTGCCCATATCGATATCAGTCCAATACCTTCTCTTTTGCTCCAGCAAGCCACTGGCTGCCGTTGCTTACGCAATAGCGTACGTGTTTACAGCATGTCACACAATGTTAAGCATTGCATTTGGTCTTTGGTGTTGGATCGGATGGACTTCAGTTGTTTTGTTTGGTTTTTTTTTTATCTTGATTTGATCAAGATTTGATCTTGAAATTTTGACCAAAATGGGACCAGTACGGATCTTGAGTATAAGATGGAGCCATCACTAGTTTCCAGGGATGTCCGATAACATCGGCCGACCGATAATATAAAACCAATATTAGCATAATTATGTAATATCTGTAAGACTCGTTATTGGTTCTTCCTCCAATATTGAAAACCCGTTAACGCAATACCTGGGTTTCGACCAATGACGTGTGCCCTGAAAATAGTTTAATCAGACCAGTCAGATGCCTTCGTGCTCTGAAGAACTTTTATTGAAACACAATTGCCAAAAACGCCTTTTCCTCCTATCACACTCTCCGCACTCTGCAACACATACAGTGGTTTGTACAGATAAATAAATATAAATGATCAGGCGCTCAATAGTATTTCAATTTGGGAGATGCTACCAGGCCACCGCTGCCCCGCTAAATCGTTATCGGTTAATATTGGAATCGGAAATTAAGTGTTTGGACAATGTTGGCATATCAGATATCGGCAAAACCTTAATATCGGACATCATCCCTTCTACTTTTCAATATTGCTGCGACGTCAGGATGCAGCATGACAATAAAGTCGGCAGTAAATCTGTTTTTGCTTCACTAGTAGGACCTTCAACTTCCATGGGCATTCCAGTGCACGTTTCCTTGTCTGAAGGTCTGAAAAGTTTCTCCTTCAAACCCTTCTTAATCGTGCCATTGGACTGCTCGGTGTTTGCGCAGTATTTATTTATCCAGGATTTATCCTCCTGACCTGAGTATTTTGTGTTTGTCCTAGCTAAAGATGTTAAAGATGAACTGATAGCCAAAAGTCATCGGAGGTCACGACAAACACCAACAGTGTCTCTCTCTCTCTATCCAGGAACACCAAGCTGTGGATCTGCATGGAATACTGCGGTGGAGGATCACTACAGGATATTTACCACGGTAATATTTTGTTTGATTTGTGTTCAACAAACCCCAGGGACATGCGACACACCTGCAGGCACACAAACAAGCAATAAGACATAAAAGACGAGGTCGTCTTTTTAACCTGTATCTGACAGAAAATTGGATTTCTTGTCATGTTCTGCTCCGATTTTGTTTTTCTTTCCTGCCTGTCTTTGTCTGCAAACAGCCTCATTACTTACACCTGTTCCTCTGTTTGTCCATGTTGTCCTCCCTCCTCCTCCCCCTCACGCGTTGTCTTTGTCGGTCTGTCCCTTGTGTCACGCTTCTCCTGTCCTCCTGTTCTTGTGCCTTGATTACCTATGTTTTATGTTGTGGTTTTTTTGTGTCGTTGTTGTTAACGACAAACTAAAACTTGAAAGCTGGGTCCTTGGAGACTGAGACTTTGACAATGACAAAATACGTATTGAGGCACAGACACAAATTGCTTATGAATTTCTGTCTGTACAGTCATAAGGCTATGCTATAAATGAAATTTCTCACAACTGAATTTTGTAAAACAATCAAATACACCTGTGAACTCCAAAATGTGTGTAGGAAGTTTAAATAATAAAAAAGAAAATTGCTTTTTTAGAGCTGTCAAAATTAATGCTTTAACTAATAATGTATATTATATATCATTTTATATTTATATCTATTTATATATTTATATCATTTTATTTGATTGTTCGGACCCCAAGGTGTCAACTATAGTTGGTGACCCCTGTTGTAAAGAGCCGGTAGTTTAGATACTGCTGGTAAATAAAAATTATAAACCCTAATATGAACTCTACTCTAAAGCTATGGTAGAAATGTACTCTAAGTGACTCTGAGTGAGTTTTTAGACTCATTTCGTATATTATTTTCCAAACCGGTGTCGAACAATAACGTGAACCTTGCTCTTTGTTTTTGTGTACAGTGACGGGACCATTGAGGGAAAAACAAATCGCCTACGTTTGCAGAGAAACCCTACAGGTAAGGGCTCTCGGCAAAAAGGCAGCGTCTTGTTTTTAGTGTAGTGTTGAATCTCCAAAGATAACTGTGAGACACAGTGAGTCACAGTTATTTTTCCAAGCAACCAGCTACGTAGTACTTAAGTTTGCCGCACCGCTAAATACACTGTGGAGGTAAATGATGCAGCTGCTGCTGCTGCTGCTGCTGCAGTGTCCCACAGTCAGGATAGTCACAACAGTCTATTTTGGTGTGCGTGTGGTTGGCGAGTCATTTGCTCACATTAAAAAAAAAAACAACAACAACAATCCGATGCTAGAAAATTGAAGATACAACACAATTCCTTCTAGTGTAAGCACGTTTGTTCATGATTAAAAATACTGTGAGTGTCTGATACAAAGTACTATGCTTGTACCTTTATTGTCATTGTTGTTCAAGGTGAAATGTTTTTCTCTGAGCCAAATAGACGACATACTGTGTATTGTACCTTTTACAGTTTAGTTCCTCTTGGTAATAAAAAGCATTAGGATTAGTTAAATTAGTTAAATCTTTGTAGATAGACTTGGTTGGATGGTTCTGGATCTGATACTTGTTTTCAATTGTGTAGCCAATGTTGATCAAGCTCTGGTCCGGGTCCATATGTCAGACTTATTAAAGCCCAGTTCTGTCATTGTCTACTTCAAGCCATGACTATAGCCTTCTTCTTGGAGGCTGCACTTGGAACAATGATAAATATATATGTACATATATATGTACATATATATGTACATATATATGTACATATATATATATGTATATATAAACACAACAATTAAAATGTATACAGAAATTAACTCATTTGCCTAACTGAGGGAATGTAGCATTAATGTAACAATTTTTAAAAAAACAAAACTACACTATGTAGTAACAATGTAGAAACAATACTATACTATGTGGTATAAGATGTACACACAATATAATATTCCTTGGATATGTCAGTATTTCCCAAATGTTTTTTGAACTGTAAGACTCATTGTATATTGGCAAAATAACTTAAATCAAATTTTACTTACAATTTCCTTAAAATCTTTTGTGAAACCTGAGCCTATTTGAGTGAACGCAATGCTGATATACCCGCAGGAATTGAAGAAAGACGCACATAAAGATTTTCTTCAACATCTGCTGCCACCTGATGGTAGAGCATTTTATGCCTGTAACTGTCCAAACCAGGAACCAAGACAATCTATTCGCAGTAAATAAATAATAGTTTCAGAGTAATTGATATTGTGTAATTTTTCGGCATACCAGTGTGTCACGGCACGGCGGTTGGGAATCACTGCCATATGCAGACACACGGCAGGATATTAAATAATATGGCTTCAAACATACAATGTGAAAACATAAAGTACACCAAACTTAACTCGGTTGTGCAAAACTTACGACTACTTTTACTACTATACTACAAGGTAAATGTTAACTTTCTAGTATAATGTGTTTATTCTCTTTGCTCTGTTTATTAATGTTTATTCATTTTTTCCTAGGGTTTGTATCATCTGCATGAAACAGGCAAAATGCACAGAGACATAAAGGTAGGACAGAGTTTAATAACTTAACAGTTTAGACTATGAAGTGACTGGCGGTGTAATGGTGTTGAATCTGTGCAGGGAGCGAACATCCTTTTGACAGAGAGAGGAGACGTCAAACTGGGTCAGTGGTCATTTCCTTTAAAAAAAAAAAAAAAAAACAACCGACAACAGCCTTTTAATTAACCACTCAGTCTGAGGTTGTTGGCTCAAAAGCCTCATTCTCATTGAATAGTGCTTTCACTTTGACTCGATGTGACCTCGTCTGTTCCCTCTCGGTCTAGCGGACTTTGGTGTGGCAGCAGAGATCAGTGCTTCAGTGGCCAAGAGGAAGTCCTTCATAGGAACTCCCTACTGGTAAGATGCTGACCTATCACTCTGTGGAGGACTATGGTGTTTCTGTATGTGTCTTAGTGGTTAAGGAAGTGGACGCGGGTCCGGAAGGTTTCGGGTTCGATTCCATCAGCTGCCAAATTGCCTCTAAGGTGCCCCCTGCTCACTTTTGGTGATGGATTGTGTAATTCAATTTCACTCACTGAAATTAGTGGCTGTACATGGGGTTTACTGGGCAGTTGAATCATTTCAAGGCTCCCTTGATCAGAAAAGACACCAGACCCACATCCTAATTGGACAAACTTTTTGATCTTCCTGACTCAACCCAACCTGAGGAAATTTTAGAACTAGGTGGAATTGAACCCACCTTCCAGTGGACTCACCACCCGCAGGAAGGTTCAGGGGGGTTGGTACGGTGCAGTGTGACTCGGGTGGCGGTCAAGGAGACTGCTGCCCCCGCGACCCGATAAGGGATAAGCGGACGATAAATGAATAGATGGATGGATGGAATCGAACCTATAATCTCTTCATTGCATGCAGCAATCCTACCACTAGTCACTCTAGCACCCCTACCTTCCAATTTGTGACACTCTGCATCCATAGCTTGATGCAACCGCATAGAGCTCAAGGACTGACGGAGGTTGAGGAGCTCTTGGGTCTCTGTAGCTCGATGAGCAAAAGTTTGAGATTCGATGGTTGCTGTTCATTTGAATCGAAAGAGTACAACT